CCCTCTCCGCCCCGCCCCCGTGCTGCGCACTTACACCCTTTCGCTTGGCCGGGTCGGAGCCGGGCCAGAGGCCGGGCAGGATAGCGGTGTCGTTTTCCACCCCGGCGAGCTGCACGCATGTATGGCTGCAGCGCGGCGCGCCGCCGCGCGGGCCCCGGACCCCGCAGGACTTCCACGTCCTTTGGCGCTCGGCCTCCGCGCCGACGAGGACGGGTCGGGGTCAACCTTGACCAGGAGGCCGACCAGGTCCGTGCCGCCATATGACTCTACATATGACCTCTGACCTCGGAGTAGGTGGAAAACAAAAGACGCCGCAAGGGTAGACGGGTAAGGGCATCCAACCCTGCGCCCGCTGTACACGGTAGAGATACACTCTCTACACCGTGCTGCCGTGGAGAAGCTTGATGTGGTGGGGTCGGGTGGGGCGCACTGCGCACGCGCACTCCCACGTGACCTCCCGCGCGACACGGCAGGTCACGCCCCGCTCACGCCCCCGCCCGGCTGCAGCGCCCGTCACGGCCGTGCCGTGACGTCGCCGACCACCGGGATTGGCGTGATGCCGTTGCCGTTGAGCGCGATTCCCTCGAGACGAGATGCGGCCGGAAGGAGCGGGCGAAGCGTATGTGTGGGCGTGTGTGCACGTGAGGCCGGGGGACGGTACAGCACGCACACCCTGTAGCGCACGACCCGCCACAGCCTCCGCCGCCCGGGATCATCGACGCCAAAGAGGAGGCGGAGGTGAGCCAGACGGACGAGGAGCCACGAGGAGCAGGCTCATCCCGTCCGCGCCGCGCGCGCAGCAGGGGGAAAATTACACCTGTTCACTGTGGCTCGAGGGCGGGGCCGGCGGGGCCGGGCCGGGCAGGGCATGTCACAACACCCGGCACACGGCCCGGCAGGGCAGGCCAGGGCCCGGGACCACTGTAGGCCCACTGCTAATGGCCACTTGTCGCCATCGACATGTCTCGGCCACGAGGCGCTCCCGGCCCGGCCCCTATATCTGCCTCCAGCACTGCCATCAGCCATTGACGCGGGGCGGGGCGCGGGGCGGGGCGCGGAAGGGGCCCAGGACTCCATGTTCCACGCACCGCACGACACGCCACCGCCGCTCGCTTCGCACCCACCGGGTCTTTGTTGGACGAGAGGAGGGGAGGGATAAAATTGGAGGAGCAAACAGCGTTTCGTTCCGAGCGGGGACGATGAGGTGTCGAAGTGAATCCCTCCAGGCTCCGCCCCAACCGTTCCGTCCGGCCAGGCGTGCCTCCCGGGGCCCGCCTCCAGGCCTTGAACCTGCTGGAGCAGCAGGTCGAGGAAGCAGGGGCCCTGGACTGGATGCGGCGGTCGCCTGCTGCAGGATACGTGCTACTTTTATTTCCTCTCCTTTTCGCACGGGGATGCGCGTGCGCGCGCCCAGGACATGAGCCCAGTGCAGAGCGGCGGCAGTTTTAAACGGGAAGACCCCCTCCTTACCTCATCGCTTCTCATCGCCTGCAGTGTCCGAGCCGAGCCGAGAGCGCTCTCCGCCCGCTCTCCGCCCTGGAGCTGGAAGAGCAGCCTGGATGCTGGAGGCGGTGCCCTTCGCTCGGCCGGCTTGCAGGAGTCGTCGTCGCACTGCTGCCCCGCCCCGCCGCCCCGCTGCTCTCCTCCTCGGCGTGGGACGCGATGCAGCGGACACGACCAGCGAGAGCAAAAAGGAGAGAACGAAAAAACAAAAAAACGACTGGTGGCCGATGCGAGTGTTTGAGTCGAGCCTCCTGTCGTATTTGGTCAAAGCGAGTTACCTCTCTCCTCTTCACCTTCTCCCCTCCTTCACCTTTCTTCGTCGTCGTGCTCACCTGCTGTTCACTTCACCGCAGCAGCAGCTCCGCTTCATCTTCGGTCCACTCCGCGGCCCGTTCACGCGGGTGTCAGTTCATTGACGCAACACCCCACCAGATGGCGCGTTGGTGGTCGCCACTTCCCCCGTGTCAGCGACACGCGAGCTTCGCGGTAGACACGTCGTTTTCGCGTCTACGACGACAACTGACGGCAAATCACGAGTGAAATGATGTAAAATATTTTTCTTGTAGTGTGATCCCACCTTTCCGGCAGAAGATACCATCTTCGTGAGTGTCAAAAATTATTATAATTTAATGATGAAATGATGAACGACGAGTGCGGTTCGCTTGCATTGTTTTATTTCCTCGCATGTTTTTCTCTCTCGAGGAATTTATCATTCGCCTGGTCTCGATTATGACGACGGTTTTCGCGTTGTCGGCGAAGGCAGCAGCAGCAGAAGAAGGGGTTCTGGAAACACACATACAAAATCTCCACTTCCCGGGAACAACGACATGCTCGCCGACGCCGGGCCTGGCGGCCGGGGCGAGGCAGGGCAGGAATGAAAGGGAGGAGAAAAGGAGAAAAGTCCAAGAGGGGCAGCAAGCAGAAGGGCAGCGGGAAAGGGAGCGGTGTGCACAATTAATTGTCTTGGCACAACCTGGGACGCTGTATGCCCCCCCCCCTTTCCCCGCAACGCTGGCCTCGGCCCCCTCGGCCCCTCGCTGTTCCGCTGGAAGGCCCTCCTGGCAGGCCCTCCGCTGCCGCCACCGCTGCACGACATTCCGTATGTCCACAAACCACGTAAAGTAGCTTGCAGGTCTGCAGCTCCGGCTTGTATGCCCTGCCCTGCCCGCATTGCTTTCCAGCAAGTACAGAGTACAGTATACCCACTTACTACACAAGTATACATCGCCCCGCGCCCCGCCTTCATGCGCTTCCAGCGAAGCTTCTTCAGCGACCGAGCGACGGGCATACACCCTCACACTACACAAGGTACTTTGTGGCTATACGTTCTTTCGGCCGCGATATTCACGATACAGGCGATCCAAAATTATGGGACAGGGGTAGTTTTTCATCCATCCATCCGTCGGTCCATCCATATCGATCCATGTCAATCGATATCCATCGATATCCATCGATATCCATCGATATCCATCGATATCCATCGATATCCATCGATATCCATCGATATCCACCGATATCCATCGATATCCATCGATATCCATCCATCCATATCCATCCATATCCATCCATATCCATCCATATCCATCCATATCCATCCATATCCATCCATATCCCTCCCTCTCTCCCTCCCTCCATCCATCCATCCATCCATCCATCCATCCATCCATCCATCCATCCATCCATCCATCCCATCCATCCATCCATCCACTAACGTGTCACGTGTTGTTAAACACCACCAAACTGTAAAACGGATTACACAATGGTTCCCCGCTGGGGCAGCGAAAATAAAAGCGAGATTCGAGATGGGGTCGAGCCTGGGTCGAGCTGGACCGGAGGGGGTGGTGCTTGGGCCCAGAAGGCCCAGGGGAGACATGTGGGTGCAGACAGGTCCGAACGATACATAGTAGCCCAGCGCTACCTCGGGCACCACGGCAGCGCACAGGACCAGCGAGAGCATCGAGCAGGTAGAAAAGGGGGCCATCTCCACACTCCACACCAACGCACATCACCTCTTGATGCCAGTGTAATTTATTTCGTATTCCATTGCCGGCGATAACCCCGGCTAGAGCTGCTCGCGTGTGCGTGCTACAGACGCCGGGGACAGGACACGCAGCCACGGTCCTTACCGGGGTCCTTTCCTGCAGGCAGCCGAACAGAGGCTGTAAAGTCCTGGGCG